ACAAGCTCAAGGAACAAAAACTGTGTCATGCATGGATTTCTATGCCTACAACTTCATGATTCGAAATACTTACTTCAACCATTTGCACCGTTGTCAAGATCTGTTCCAACAGTATGCTGTTGATATGTATGCCAAGGTGGAGACAGAAAGGTTGCTGTACATAAAACACACCAATAAGAACTGTGTATTGACTCCTACATTCATCTTAGAGATAGGATCAACAATGATGAAGGCAGGGGCATTGGTCAGCTGTGCATTCTTCTATCCACTTTCATAGGAAGACCAAAATACATGCATGAACGAACTCAAGATGTCATGACCTATGTCAGAACTTATGGAAAGCCAGATCTCTTCATCACTTTTACCTGAAATCCTTCTTGGAACGAGGTTAATGACGAGCTTTACCCAGGACAGTGTGCGAAGGACCAACAAGATTTGTTGGCCAGAGTTTTTCGACAAAACTCATCAAAATGATGAAACTCATAAAAAAGTATGAAATATTTGGCTCTACACGATGTGACATGTACACTATAGAGTGGCAGAAAAGAGGCCTCCTTCATACACACATTCTCATCAGGCTAAAAACAAAATTCCAATCTAATCAAATAGACACAATTATCTCTGCAGAGCTTCTAGACCCTATAAATGACCAAAGCCTCTTTAGCACCATCAAAAGAACAATGATTCATGGACCATGTGGTTCTTTAAATCTAACGTCTTCATGCATGGAAAACGGAAAATGTGTGAAAAGGTATCCCAGGCAGATGATGGATATCCTCTCTACAGAAGGAAAAAGCCTGGAGATGGAGGATTTACAGCCAAAATAAAAATGAGAAATGGTCAGGATGTTGACATTGACAATCGATGGATAGTCCCTTATTGTCCCCTATTGTCAAAGACCTTTGATGCACACATCGATTTTGAGTTTTGTAACTCAGTCAAGTCAATCAAATATGTGTGCAAGTATGAAAACAAGGGATCTGACGCTGCTATGATTGCTCTTCAAGACCAAAACACAAATAATGAAGTGACTCAGTTCAAACTGGGAAGGTACATTAGTAGCAATGTAGCATTTTGGAATTTCCAATTCATGAACGACATCCCACCATTCAATAACTTAGTGTCCACCTAGAAAATGGACAGAGAGTCTACTTCACTGAAGAATATGCTTTGCAACTAGCATTGGCTTCAAAAAATACAACACTGACTGGATTCTTCAACCTTTGCCAAGAAGATCCTTTTGCATGCACATTACTTTATTCTTTACACATAGAGCAACAACAAGTGGAGTAGAAGAAAAAGAGGTACTCCTGTAGATGGTCATCCTAGGGTTTTTAAAGATGAAGCCTTGGCAAGGGTCTATACTGTTCATCCCAGCCAGAAAGAGTGCTGCTTAATGATGTGAGAGGCCTGACATCCTTTGAGGATTTGTGTATTGTCCAAGGTCAGCCCTGTGCTACCTATAGAGAGGCGTGTTTCAAGCGAAGCCTTCTTAAAGACGATGCACAGTAGAAGTCCACGCTGACAAAGGCAGTAGTCTTACAGTCACCAGGCAACCTCAGAAATTTGTTTGCTGTTTTGCTGCGAGTTTGTGGTGTTTCAAACCAAGTTGCCATGTGGCAAAATCACAGAGAAGATCTGTCAGAAGACTTCAAGCACCAGGCTCAACTACAAAATACCAATATAGAAGTTAGCTACAATTATGCAATTTTTAACTTGGCTCTTATTGCCATTCAAGGCAAAGTGTTGTCTTTGGGAGGAAAAGAGCTCCCATCATTTGGCCTTCCTGAAGTTCAATGCAATCAGGATGACAACCTCAATCGTGAGGTTCTGTGTGAGACCACTTACAATATTCAAGCTCTTAACCAAGAAGTTTCCAAGCCAACCTTGCTACTTGCCCAAAGAATAGCGTATGCAACAATAATTGACAGTGTCCAACATAAGAAGGGTGGAGTCTTTTTCATCGATGCACCAGGAGGAACAGAGAAAACATTTCTTATCAACCTGTTCTTGGCAGAAGTTCGTCAACATAAGCAAATTACACTTGCAGTTGCCTCATCTGGAATTGCAGCAACTCCCATTGAACTTGACCATAAATGAAAATGTTACATGCAATATCAGTAAAGGAACTGGGATGGTAGAAGTTCTCAGAAGATGCCAAATGATTGTTTTGGACGAATGTACAATGTCTCACAAAGCAGCATTTTGGTTTTGGCTGAATATTTCAGACAAACATTGCTGGTTATTCCAAGAGGCACAAGAGCCGATGAACATAAGGCTTGCCTAAAATCACCATATCTTTGGAGAAACGTAAAAACAAGTCCACCTATCTACCAACATGAAAACCCATCTGACAATTTGCTGACAGTCTATTGCAACTAGGCAATGGCAAAGTCAAACAAGATCAACAAGGAACAATTAACATGGGAATCATCTGTACACAAGTAAAGAAGCATAAGCCCCATGTTATTGAAGGTACAATACTTTCTGAATGGGGCAAGGGTGAAGATGTTTTCAAACCGAAAATTCCAATGATTCCCACTGATATGCCATTTGAGTTTAAGAGACTACAGTTTCCCATTCGCTTAAGCTTTTCCATGTCCATCAACAAATTGCAAGGTCAAACATTGAAGGTAACTGGCCTGCAGTTGGAAGAGCCATGCTTCTCTCATGGACAGCTCTATGTTGGATGTTCACGTGTTGGAAGCCCAAAAAATCTTTATGTAAATGCTCCATGTGGAAAAACTAAGGACATTGTTTATCATGAAGCCCTTATAAAGAAAATAAATATTTTGTATGAAAGAATTATAATTCAAGCACAATTACCATGAAGCTTTTTTAGTTATTTTTCTCTTAATCAAGTTTCACCAAACTGAGTGCTTTGGTCCCCAGGCAATGCCGGATATCCTGCTAGTATTCAGTATTTCTGTAGGTACAACCTAAAATTCTATTTGAGCAGTTTCCAAAAACCTTTCTCCTTCATGGTTTGACTCTAAAATTTTTCAATCTATATGCATGAAATTAAAATCACCCATAATTATGACCTCATTAACAGCTGAAATATTAATTTTATTGTTAAATTTCTCACTAATTTCATCAGTATCATTTGGTGGTCTTCTACAAATTCCCATTAAAAGTCTTTTCTCTTTATATCCATTAATAGACACCCAAATATATTTAATCTCCTTGCTATTATCTTTTATATCCTCAACTTCAACAGGATGTAACTCGCATTTTACATATAAAGCCACTTCTCCCCTCTTTAATATTCTATTCCCATTAAATAGCCTGTAACTCTTTATTTCTGATATCAAAATCATCTACCTGTAACCATGTTTCATTTTTTCCTATTATATTAAAATTCTCCATTTCTACCAGTGCTCTAAAGTCATCTGTTTTATTTCTTATACTTCTAGCATTACAATAATAACAATTAAACCTATTCTTATAACTACTTCTAAACTCATTTCCCATGATAAACTTTTTCTGCCCCTTATTCGCTTTACATTTAGTTTTCCTGGTCCTCACCACTGCCTAGACCTAGTTTAAAACTTTCCTTACAGCTGAGTTAATAGCTGTGACAAACAAGCCAGTCCCTATTTTAATTAAATGTAAACCACTCATTCCAAAAAGCTCCCTTCTTCCACTGAACTGATCCCACAAATCCTAATCAGCCAATTTGCTCATCTTTACATACTAATCTAAGCATAGCATTTAGCCCTAATGACCTACTTATAACTTCATCCCCAAAGTTAATTCTTGGCTGTATCCCTGACAAAATTACGTTATGGCCTTTTTCTTTAAATTTCTCTATCAACCCCTTGTAGTTATTAATTAGCTCCTCTGACCTACCTATCCCGACATCATAAGCTCCTACATGCACCCAAAAACTGCATCTCTGCTAGCCCCTTTATTATATCCCCCATCTGTGCCCCTGGGTAGTATAATCTGATTCTTTTCACCCTATTTACCTCACAGACTATTCTATCAACATGCCTTATCAAGAAATCACCTATAACCTCCTTATTATCCACATCCTTCTCTGACTCTTTTGTTTTCCTTCCTTCCAGTAGTTCTTTGTCTGCAGAAGCCAAGGGCTGAAATTTGTTGCTCAATAAAATAGTCTCATTACAATGAAATTAAATACTTTAAGCCCTAAAAATATAGACGTTGCAGAAAATTTGCTGCCTTAATAAACTTCTGGGAGCCCATCTCGACATTATGTTTCATCACGATCACAAGACAAAAACACAGTAAATATTATACATGACCAGTATTACATAGTTGTTTCCTTAATTTGTTTTGCATCAAGTTTGAATGTATCTGCCATTTTCCTAGTATTTGTTAATAAAAATTAGTACTAGTAACTCGCAGTTCATTCACCAGTTTTTCACCAATGATTTTGGTAATGGTACTGTAAAACTGCAGTTTGTAATTTGTTTTTGAAGGATGGATATTAGCCATTCCTACATGACTTCCATTTTTTGAAAAGCTTTTACTTTGCTTGTAATACAATAGCATTCACAACAATTAAATCCTGTTTGTCATTAATAAATGCCTGAAAGACAGCATAAATCAGCTAAATCAGACTAAGCTTAAGCAAGCAAATATAATTAAATAGGTCTTGTAAAACATATCTAATTTATATGTTTAGCCTATACATAAGCATGTCATAAAAACTTAATTACATATATATTGTGTGTATTCGTAGAAAAAATGAAACCGAAATATTTTTGCTTGGCTCATTAGGCCATGAAGACACCAATGGCATATGAAAATGTCTACCGGATTATTTAAGAAAAATATCCAGTTGTAGGCGACCAAAATGTGGAACCTCCAAAGGTTAACAATTTATATATTTACTAGTTTCAGGCATATAAGAAAGATATTTATTCAGCTTGAACTACTCTGAAAAAAAAATTAACAAGTTGTTAAAAGAGTTTGTTCTGTGCATGTTCTTTCATACAACTTTTTCTGTAGAAACTGTGACTAAGATTTCAGATTACGTTGTGATTCTGTTACAGATTTAGATCAGCATTTTGTTACGAAATACAAGCTTAGTGAGAAAATGTTCTGTAATTAGCTGCATCTGCGAGAAAGCTTCATAACATAAATACGTCTAGCATTGAAACTTTTAGTATTTACAGTTTTGTGGTTGATTTTCAGAAATACAAAGCACCAGCTTGAAAGATAAGTATATAAGGATTAATGAAGGACAATAGCAAAGAATCTTCTGAAACGAAGAAAATGCGAGCAATCTCAGCTCAGCTTTTGTTCCATTATCTTTAGATATAATTTTATATAACTGTATAATTTTAGATTATGAAGTGCTATTTTTTAAATATTAAATATTGTGCTTAGTGTTAGTTGTATTTACCTGACTATCTTTCATTAATTAATTATACTTGTCATTAGACATTAGTATTAGACGTATTATGTTTCTAACACCACATTCTATATCTAATCCATAATTTTAATAATTAGAAGAGTGTGTAATAATATTAATTACAACTATACTGTTCTCCATATCATAGATAAAAATGATGTGTTAAAAAATATAATAGGCCTAATACTAATGAATCATGACAAGTATAATTAATTATATTCATGCTTCGTTGCTTGAAAAAGGCATTCACACCACACTTTTCATTGATTTGTAGGTTTCGCTTAGACAAACCTTGTTGGGTACTGAAAAAGAAATTGTATTTGAGAAAGGTCATGGGAAAAAGAGTGAAGCTGTCTGAAAAAACCAGGCTATTTCTGATTACATCTTTTTCTAAGGTTTAAGTTTCTAAGAGTCGTTGTTTTGTTTTACAACACTGAAACTGAATTGATATTTTGAGTGTTGATAACATGCCACTAAAAATAATTATATTTTATTATTGCTTTCTCACTGAAATAGAAATACTCATGTGAGAGTTTGTTTCTTAATACCAACTTTTTGTGAATTTGGATGTCAATTTTACTTACCTGTTTGGTCTGCCGTCATTTATTAGCAGTTGCAGCTTTCTTTTAAATGTATCCCTTAAAATTACTTACTGCTCTTCTAAGTAGATACTGCATGATAAAGTAATTTCTACCAAATGGATTAAAGGCTTGTTATGTGCTCTTATTTGTGACTAATTCATCATTTCGAAAACGAAGTTTTATAATAAATATTAAAAACACAGTAATACCTAAAAACATATCTTATTACAGACGTTTCGGAATTGTTTCAAATTCTATCATCAGTATTAAAACCTCAAAAGAGTAGTTTTTATACAATTAAAAGTTTAGAAAGAACAGATTTAAAATTAAAAATACTTTTCGTCATCTCAAATTTCCTTTGTGTAATCCCTAAAATCTCCTAAATGCATTTAAAACGTTTTTTTTTTCAACTAAATCCTTATACTTTACGTTATTTTCTCTACTCTATCAACACGGGATCGGTCAATTCGACCGACTTCGTAACCACCAAACAAATTCAAAATGAACCTAAATTAACCTTTTTTTCCTTTCTGGAATGACTTCAAATTGTAACATGAAACTACATTTCTTTATCCTAAGTAGCTCTATTTATAATTAAATTTTATTGTTTTGTTGCCCTTTGAACAGTGTTTAACTACTATCCACGCCATTATAAGTTGTAAATCATTGGAGAACGTGCAGCTATCGAATTACATTACCAACGAGCTGCTCGCGTGCGTGTCTTGTGAACCATTTTAATTATATTATTATTGTTACTTATTTTACCTGATATAGTATTAAATAACTTAAAAAGATACGTATTTTTAATTTTAGTTACTTTTGTTATAATAAATAAAGAATACATACGAAAAAACAAGAAATAAAGTACTTACCCAATCTTCTTTTTTCTTGCCCTCGATTGTCATAGAGAGTTAAGCCTGATTTTTTACAGTAATTATAGTAAAGCACCTAACAATTTTTATTTAATTAAATAATGCACAAAAGAATATAGACTAATAACATGCAACGAGTAGACAAATTCACTTACCTCTCAAAATTTTCTTGGCTTTCTAACTATGCAACAAGAGTTGTTATAAATTCATCCAACTATTCGTTAACTTTCACACTGGAAAGACGTTGCTACTACTGCGTGAAATTGACGATTATTATTATTTTTTGTTTGTTTATGGGGGCGCCATCAGCAGATGATATGCTCCCAATTTTCACTGATGAACACCTTAATCAAAGGGCGAGCATGTTTGGTGTTATTGCCAGTCGAGCGCCCTAACCACCTGGCCATGCAGTAGTGCACAACTGACGATTATCTGTTCAGAACACAACGTTATACTCTACATCATTTGATAGATGAAAACCTTGACTTCCTATTGGTTATAGGTAATATATAATGAAACGTAAGAGAGAACTATCAACGAATTGTGAAAGAGAGGACGTGACAGGTGGGTGTGGCAGGAGAGGGCTAATTTTCTATTTAATAGCTCTGTAACTAAACAAAATTGAAGGCTATAAAAATTATGGTCTGTTTGAGCGTTAACGATTTTATAGAGAGAATACTACTTTTAATTTCGTACATTTGCGAGAGGTGATGGATAAAATAAGGATGATGACATACTAACACGAAATGTATCACGAGGGTCACACTAGTGGAAATTCAGGATTTTTTTAAATATTTCCTTGTAGAATTAAGAACTTAAAACTTGTATACTATTAAAATCTGGGTTATTAGCTAAGATTTTATGCTATTTTAATTGTTGTAACATAAGCAGAAAGTAGTTTAATAAATTTTGAATGTAAAACACTAAAACCTTGTGTCATGCACAGTAAATGGTACCGGGGAGAGAGGGACAGTAACAATATAATGGAATTA